TGGCCCCTTTGTTTTCTTTTCTTTTTTCTAGTATTGTTTCAATACATAATATATACTCAATGCTCAGATCTGGGAAACCTTTGCCTTTTCCCTCAATTATTTCTGTGTAGTTGAAACAGTCAAAATCCTTTCTGGGGGCCGGGGAGATGGCTCAGTAGAGTAAGCGCTTCCCTGGCAAGCACAAGGGCCTGAGTTTAGTCCCTGGTTCCTCAAAAGAAAAAAATTCTTTCTGTAGCTTACATAGACATATATTACTCTGGTGTGGTGGCATACTACTATAATCCCAGCACTCTGGGAGGTTGAGGCAGGAGAATCCCAAATTCAAACCCAGTTTGGGTTTTTTGTTTTTTGCAGAACCAGGGATTGAACTCAGGCCCTTGCACTTGCCAGGGAAGCGCTTATCCCACTGAGCCATCTCCCTGGCCCCAGCTTGGGTAATTTGACAAGACCCAATCTCAAAATAAAAAAAAAGAAGGGTTTGTAGCTCAGGAAGAAGGCTGAGTTCTCTCCATGTTACACCATAAAAACAAAATTTAAGACACAACTTCGTAGTACTAAATAACGTTCCCTTTCTCTGCCTCCCCAGAATAGTTTTGTTTGGGAGACAGGGTACCCTGTTGTCTGGGGTAGTGGAACTTCTGGGCTCAATCTTATGCCTTGACCTCCTGAGTAGCTCCAACTACAGGATGGCACCCAGCTCAACAATGGGATTTTCTAAATAAATAAATTTTTAAAAAGGGATTTTCAGGGTAGGTATCTAGCTCAGTGATAAGTGTTTGCCTAATATGTATGAGGCCATGAGTTCAATCTCCAGCACCACCAAAACAAACAAAAAAAAGAGACAAAAAGTTAATTGGGGAGGGGCCAGGGAGATAGCTCAGTAGAATAAGCACTTGCCTGGCAAGCACAAGGGCCTGAATTCAATCCCAAATTCCACAAAAAAAAAAGTTAATTGGGAATAGCGGCACACACTTGTAATCCCAGCACTGGGAAGGCCAAGACAGGAGGATTGCTGCAAATTTGAGGCCAGCCTCGGCTACCTAGTGAGTCCAAGGCCAGCCTGAACTACTATATAGTAAGACCCTGTCTCATATATATGTGCTGTTGTCCTCTGGTGTTCGAACATCTGACCCGAAAGCTATTTGTACCCACAGAGAAGCAGTAAGCTCTAGTCCCCACTTACCAATCAAGCCTGCTAGATCCAGCCCTCTCAAGAACATGGGTGTTGTGGTGTGGTGCAAGCACAGGGGGCTTGGTGTGAACTCAGTTTTGCCAAAATGGATTGGTTTGTGTTGAAGCCAGATGAAAAAATTTAAGGCCCTACTGCCTTCTAGGCTGTCACTACAACTAGGAGTCAGATACCTGGTGATTATGTGTATTGTATCTCTTTATTCTCTTATCAAAACCTGTCACAGTTGGGGCCAAGAGGTAAAAAATAATAATCCCCCACCCCACCTCCCATGAGTCTTCCCAACCCCCACAGGGCTGCGGGCCAAACCTGGCGTACATGATCAGCTGTCTCCCCACCCTGTCTTCCCACAGCAATAAATACAGGGGACCGTGATTCTGTGAAACCACAACTGATTTCTCCACGTTGCACACCCCAAGGGGACCATAAAGGAAGAAATTTAATGCCCATCCCTCGTAACTGAGAAGCCGTGGAAACACCTTCCCCAGGGACAGGGAGGCAACACTACCCGGGAGAAGTGCAGCAACTCCAGAGGGACAGATCAGGAAGGGAAGGGATTTCTGCAGCAGCCACAGCCGCCATCCTCACCTCCCTCACCAGCTGAGGGAGTCCCAGTGTATCTGTGGGGCAGCAGTCTCGCAGGGCAGGGCCAGGGAGAAGTAAATGGAAGGAAGGTAGTCAGGTGGGGAGGGAGGAGAGGAGGAGCCTTAAATCCACCCTCACCTTCTTCAAGGCATCAACACAGGCTCAGATGGGTGGGGAAAACAGGCCGAGGTCCAGGGTCCTCCGAGCCACAGGCCATGGGGCGGAGGGAAAGGCCGGGAACTGACTAACAGTGGAACATGGAAGGCAGGTCACACAGGAACTCAGAGTCCAGGGACAGCCCTCTCTTCAGGCGGATGTCAGGTGGCATCTAGTCTCAGGATAAGGAGGGTGATGTCCAGGGTGGGCCAGACTGCAAGGCAGAAGAGGTGACTCTCCACCACCACTTGGGTTATTGCAGGTGAATGCTCCAGTCGGAGGCCACGTTGACGCCAGGCTTTCGAAGAACCAGCACCGAGGTCTCAGGGTCATGCTGGAAGGACAAGCGGCTCTCGGGAGCTCCTGAGTAGGCGAGAGGAAGTGGTCACTGCAGGGACAGGCCACTCCCTTCCCTGAGGCCAGCACAGGCTCTGGCCTGCAGAGGAAATGCACCTGGGATCTGGAGCAGCACGGCAGTAGGCTTCCCGGCGCCCATGATCACCACCCGCTCAATCCACACCGGTGTCTCAAAGTGGCCTCGGGCGTCTGCAGAGCTGGAGAGGAAAGACATCGCACAGAAGGGGAAGGGGCTGTGTCCAGGGCGAGCAGCCAACCTGCTGCACACCAGGGGCCAGTACCTGGAGACCAGCGTGCTGCTGTTGAAGGAGAAGCGCCGCAGCAGGAACTCCTGGCGTGTCTGGTAGTTGAATGTATGTCCGTCATCGAGGAAGAGCTCACCTTGGGCAGTACCCTGAGTGGAAGTGGGGGTACAATGAGCCAGGGATGGTGGCTCAGGTCCAGGGGTGGCTAGATGCCAGAAAGGCACTCACCTGGGTGCCGAGAGCCACAAAGAGAGTGATGGGGTCATCCTTCATGCAGTCTGAGGAGCGCCGCACACGCATCCAGCGGGGCACGATTGTCCCTCCTCGCTGGAACACAGGGATCTAGGCCAGAGCATCCCACGGCTGAAGGCCCACAGCACTGCTGCCATCACCCCCAGGGCCCACACAGGTCTGTGGCCACAGGCACACACGCATCCCATGGCAGCTGGGGAGATACTCACGCTGCTCAGAGTTACGGGCAGGTACAGGGTCTGTGGAGCACTATGCCTCTGGTAGCTCTGAATGTCATACCACACCTGCCAACAGAGGAAGACACTGGTCACTATGCAGGCGCCCTTGGCCCATCCGCTTCCTTTGGCTTCCCCACCTTGCCCTGCACGCCTTTCCACCACTCACCTCCCTGGGGCCAGGCAGATAGACCTGCACTCCACGGGCCCCGGCGTCTGACACAGGGTGCACCAGCAACGCGTCCCCTAAACAAACCAGAACCCACTCAACCAGGGCATGGCTCGTCCCAGGGCTCACACGGTCATCCCCAGGGGCCCAGTCCGCCTGCCAGCCTCCCCTCCTCACCCAGAAGGAACTGGTCATCAATGCTGAAGGTAGTCACGTCCTGGGGATACTGCACCCACAGTGGCCTAAGCAAGAGGGCAGGAGGACATTAGCCATCAAACAAAGAAAGCCAGTCCAACAGATGGTGACAGGTATGCGTGCAGCACTGCTAGTATCTTTGATATGCACATCGTCACATGGGTTGGCTTACATTCAGAGTGCTCCACAGACAGATTAACCTCTGCTCAGACAAGAACACCTGTCACTCAAGTCTGGGTGACTGAAAAGGCCCCAGAGCCACAGCCCTGGCACAGCCTGTATCACCCTGGACCCACACTGCTCACCACAGGCAACGCCCCATCCTGACCATGTCCACTTGCCAGGAAAGGCCTCCAGCCTCCAGTCCTCCTGGCTCAGGAGACATTGCCCTCACGCTCCCTCAGCTCCCCAGCGGTGTCCTACCAACTTAAGTACCAGGCTGGTGGAAGAAAGGGCCTTCCCACCTCGCTAGGGACAGCAGACACGGGCTTTGCTCCAAGCCACCACCCGCCTGCCACCATGCACAGGCACAGGCAGCTCACCTCAGATGGCATCTGTGGACATGGAACACCCTGAGGGCCTGAGCTTCATGGACACTGCTGCAGTGCTGGGCCTGCCTGCCAGGCTCAGGCGCCTGGGTGCAAGCCCACACTGATGCCACTCAGAGGGTGTCTGGAGCTGACTCGGGCGGGAAGGGTGGGGGAGCTGGGCGAGTCCTTGCTATGATGCCTGCTCATGGGCTTTCTCTAGAGTACACCTGCGTACCGCAATGTCCCTGCTGGTGACGTACTCAGCATGCACAACAGCACCAGAGCTACGGACCCCAGGAAGCCCTGGGTGGACAGCAACCTACCAGCCTGCATTCCCTGACTGTGGCGTCTGCAGAGCCTTGCGGGTGAGGACGGATGTGGACAGGCCTGCCACCCCTTGGGAGGGGAGCCAGAGGCAGAGGCGACCGTGAGGTTGAGGGGCAAGGCGTCATCCCCACAGGGAGCTCAGGACATGGGCACGGCATCTGGGCTTCCACCTCCCCGTCTCACTTCTGTTAAACAGCTTGTTACGCAGCAGCCAACGGTCTGCAGATGGTTACGGCCATCCCTCACTCCTATCAGCCTCCGCTTCACTCTTCAAGCTCTGACACTAGCTCTCCCAAGTCCCCAAGCCTGACCAGTCTGAATATGAGCCCCTTCTTCTCCTATCAGACTCCCTCCTCTTGGAGGTTCTGGCAAGAGGAGGAGGAGGCCCAAAGATGCAGCCGGGACCCAATCGTGGCCCAATCAGCCTGCCCCATAGCCCATGGGAAGGGCTCACCTTATGACAGGGATGCCATCACAGTGTGCCTGATAGAAGAGCGTGTACCAGTAGGGCAGCAGGGAGTACCGGTGGCCCAAGGCTGCCCGGATAACCTCCTGGTACTGAGGTGCTAACAGCCAGGGTTCGCGCCGCCCTGTGTCCAGGTGGGCATGAGTCCGGAAGAAGGGCTGGTAGGCCCCCATCTGGTACCAGCGCACGAGCAGCTCTGGGTCCGGGTTCTTGAAGAAGCCACCCACGTCCGCTGGGAACAAGAAGTGGATTGCAGGGAGGCCCCCCGCAACTCCCAGCTCCAGGCCCCCAGGAGGGCCTGTCCTCTCTTACCCCCACAGAAGGATAGTCCCACCAGCCCCAGGCTGAGGCACATGGGGACAGAGATCTTCAGATGGTCCCACTCAGCAGTGTTGTCCCCTGTCCACACAGCCCCTAAGAAAGGAGAGGGTGGGCCGGGGAGATGACTCAATGGAATAAGTGCTTCCCTGACAAGCGCAAGGGCCTGAGTTCAATCCCCAGTTCCACAAAAAAAAAAAAAAAAAGGAGAGGGTGTTTCAGGGAGGGCAACATGGGCCTAGGCCCTGAGCATAGTGGGGCTTACCCACACCCTGGACCGGGGAGGACACTGCCCCACTGTTCCCCCCGGGGACAGAGACAGGCATGGTGCTCCACCACGGCTCCAGGTCTTACCAAAGCGCTGAGAGCCAGCAAAGAACGCCCTGCTCAGGACAAAGGGGCGCTCAACACCTCCAGAGCGCTGGATGAGCCCATCTGCTGTCGCCATGTGCTGGGGGTGTAAGCAAAGCCAGTGTGTCAGCGGGGAACCGCTGTCCATCCCCTACTGCCCCCACCCGAGCCCCTCAGGCCGGCATACCACATAGAAGCCATAGATGTTGTGGACGTCACGGTGCTCCCAGCCCCCATAATGTTGAGCATCTTTGAGCATGGTCACCTCGGGGCCATTGAACACAGACGGTTCATTCATGTCATTCCAGACATGGAGGTTGGGAGCGGAGCCCTGGGACACAGGCAGAAGATGTGGACAGGACGGAAGGGAGAAGACAAGACAGTGCCAGTGCAGAGCACGTCCTGGATCTGGAAAGGTCTACTTTTCAGGGTGCTCAGAGGACCATCAAGGCCCCCCCAGCCTGCTATAAGTACCCCAGCAAAGCAGAAGGACTCTGGGAGGGACGGGAAGGCCAGCAGACCCCCACGGAGGCTGCCCTACCTCATAGTTGTCATAGCTGAACATGCTGGACCACCAGGCTCTCGTGGCAGGATTGGTAAAGTCAGGGTAACTAGCCGAACCTAGGAGGCAACAAGGATGACCTGTCAGCCCCTAACAGGCAGGGAAGCCACTGTGCCACCCCTCACCTATCCTCAGCTTCAGGCCTGGGCCTGCCTACCTGGCCAGCACCAGCCCTCATAGTCAGAGCCATCCCGGGTCTTCACATACAGGCCCTGGTTCCGCAGCTCCTCATGCACTCGGTAGCCAGAGTCCACCTTGATGTGGGGGTCCACGATGGCCACCAGCTAGGCAAGACACAGACAATCAAAGCCGCCCCAAAGGGGCCACACCCTGGCCTCACTTGAGGATGCCCAGGGCTGCAGGCCCTCACCTTCCGCCGCTTGGAGGCCAGGCGCTCTAGCATGTGACGGGGCTGGGGGAACCGGCTGGGGTCCCAAGTGAAGTATCGCTTGCCATCAGCATGCTCGATGTCTAGCCAAATGACATCACACGGAAAGTTGTGGTCATCAAAGCCCTGGTCCACTTCCAGCACATCAGCCTCGTCCCAGTAGTTCCAGCGGCTCTGGTGGTAGCCGAGGGAGAAGAGCGGGGGCAATGCCTGGGTCCCTGTGGGGTCATCAAGGGAAGGGGCACAGTAGGGTTCAGGCCCAGCCAGACCCTGTGAGGACACCCAGAGACAGAAAGAAGCCCAGGACAGCTACAAAGGAACACCGAGGGGGCTGCCTACCTGTGAGGCTGGCGTACTGCCGAAAGACGTCGAAGGCAGAGGGCCCAAGGAGCAGGAAGACATCAATGATGCCACTCTCTGATATCCAACGAACGTCTGTCTGAGGTGTCTCCCCAGAGCCCTGCAGGTAGTCCAGCATCTTCCCAAACAAGGTCTGCCAGGGTCAGAGGGGCAGCCACTGCTCACTCTCCAACTAGGGCAGCTGCAGCCATGTTCTCCTCAGACCCCTGACAGGGCTCAGCCTCTGCCACCCAACCATTCCAGCTCCAGGTCAGCAGGGCCACCCAGCATTCCACCTGTCCCTCCCTGAGACAGGCCTTGCCCAGTTGTTGGCAGCACCCACTCTCCTGACACACAGCCGCCAGTGCACACCCTTGGACAACCAGGGAACTGTGCCATGTCCCAGGCCTCCCAGCCAGTCGCACCTTCCCTGCTGTGTTGGAGGAGATGTCGACCCAGGTTTCCGCAGCGTTGAGCCAGAAGATGCCCAGGTCGCGGTGAGGGCTATGAGCCAGCAGCACGGGCACAGAGCCGTACAAGGCCATGGGGTTGTCCAGCTCATACTGGAATACGTCCAGGTTATACAGGCGGTACGGCTCCCCGCCCCTGCAGAGAGTGTGCTGGTGAAGGCCTGGGCACCACCCAGCCCTCTGCCCCCTTGCCAGCAGCTCCCCGGGACTCACTCAGTGACCTTCAGCCGCAGGCTATCTGCATGCTCAGGGATCCCGTACACATGTTCCATGCCAGGCAGAGAGAAGTCCAAGCCCACTGATGTGGGGCCTGGAAGAAAGGTGTGGCTGAGCCTGGAGGTTCCCTGGGCCAGGGCTCCCCGCCCACCAGCCAGGCCTCACCGTAGGGCTTGCTGTCCGAGTGAGTCTTGAAGGTCTCTTCCCAGGCCCCCGGCTCCTCTCTCTCTGCTGTCTCCTGGGTTTCCTCTTGCTGCAAGAAACAAACAGACCCAGGCCCAGTCAGCCAGGGTACACTCTCCCTAGTACCCACTGCTAGGCCCATCGGGTGGAACACAGCCTCTTCTCCCACTTGCCTTGTCTCCATCCCCAGCTGCGGCACTGGGCTGGGCCCCATCGCCCTCAGCAGGGTCTCTTGCTCCTTGCCTGGAAGGTAGGAGAGCTGTCTGCTCCAATCCAGAGGGGCAGGGACGAGGGGCTAGTGAAGGAGGGGTGGGGACAGAGAGCCACGGGTCCAAAGGAATGAAAGCATCAGAGGGGACTGAATGTTGAGCCTGGAAGGGCCCCGTGGGTGGGCAACTTTCAGAGGATGGGGAAAGAACTGAGGGCATGTGGAGTGAGTGCTTCCAGGGGGCCGGCCAGGCACAGTCCAAGTTGGCGTCTGCTGGTGGCCCCAGAAGTAGGCAGGCAGGGGCTTGCTGCCTCCTCTGTCTGGTCAGACAGAGCTGTACCCAGCTGGCAGACTAGGACCTGAGGCTCCGCCCAGGGTGCATACCAGGGCCGTGGTCATAGCCCATCCAGAGCCCCCTTGGTCCCAGTCAGGAGCCAGCCCAACCCCTAGGGAAGCAGTCAGCCCTGAGGCTCATACCCAGCTCTCTCTGGGCTCCTAGCTAGGGCAACAGGACGGGACAGGGAGGAGGGCCAGGCACGGGAAGGCTGAGACCCCTTCCTAGGCCAGATGAGGGGCAGAGGATGAGGAACAGATACAGTACCCACGGCCATGGATTTACCTAGAGAAAATGTTCTTGATCTTATCCCACATGCTACCGAGCGTGAGACTAACTTTATCCGAGAAACTGGGACAGGAGGAGATGAGTAGGGAAGGGGAGGAGGAGGCACAAAACCAACACAAAAACAGAAACATAAAAGTGAATTTCAGTTGACAAACTTCCAGAGATGGGGGAAAGAAACCAAAACCAAACAATAAATAAAAAGAAAATTAACTTGGGAACACGATGGTGTAAAAAAGGGGAGAGGGAGAGGTGGACCAGCAGGTCTCCCATCGCTCAGGGACAATTCACTGCCTCCAGTCTCCAAGTCTGGGACTTGACCCCCTAGGGTCCAGCGCCAGGCTCACGATAGCGCAGGACACCCCAGGACCCTCATCCAAACCCTCACTCACGGGACCCCACGGAGACGCTGGTGCTCAAACGCCAGGAGCCCTCGGGCGTTGACGCTGAGCAGGAGGCCACGGCCTTCCAGCAGGTCAAGGCGGAAAGGCCTCGCAGTCAGTATAATCTTGTAGGGGCCCTCGGCCACCGTTAGCTCCACACTATTGTCATCACGACCAGAAACAGAGAGCCTGTGAAAAGACCAGATACACGAGAATTACCAGGGCCAGAGGGCTGCCCCACGCTGCACAGGAGGGGATCTGCAGAGAGTACCAGGCAGCACAGTGACACTGCAGGACAGATGTTGAGTGAGGCTGTCCCTGAAGCTTGAAAACGTCATGACAGCAGATGGCAAAAGTGAAGGAAAAGCACGTCTTCCACAGGGGTGGTGGTGGGAGACATTTCTCATTTCACACCAGACAAAAACATCAATTTAAGGAAGGTTAGTGTTTTCTTTTGTGGTGCTGGGAAGGAAACCCTAGGTCCTGCACATACTAGTCACACATTCCACCAGTGAGCTACACCCAAGCCTACGACTTAAAGCTTAGAACTAAAAGCACCGCAAGGAAATATACACCAACTGGTTTCCTTTTGACAGAGGATGCTGTTTCCCAGAGCCCCACACACCTGGACTGCAGAAGAAACACCACAGCCCAAGCCCGGCCTGTGGCACTGCAGCCAGAGAAGGTAAATTCCCGTTCCTCAGTAAACATTTTCTGAGCTCGTCATGGAGGTGCACACCTGTAATTCCAGTACTTGGGAAGCTGAGGCAGGGGGATCACTGTCAGCTCAAGGCCAGCCTGGGCTACTTAGCAAGATCTTGTCTCAAAAAAAAAAAAACAAAAACAGAGCTGGGGATACAGCTCAGTGGCATACAGCATCATGGCTCACACCTGTAATCCCAGCCCTTAGAATTCTGAGTTTGAGCCCAAAATGAACAACTTAAAAGACTTAGCAAGATCCTGTCTCAAAAAATAAGGCTGGGGGGCCAGGGAAATAGCTCAGTGGTATAAGTGCCTACCTAGTAAGCACAAGGTCCTAAGTTTGATTCCTGGTACCACTAAATACGTAAGTAAAGAACACCAGGGATGTTTAAGTGTGAAAGCCCTGGGCTCAATCCCTTATAGCAAAAGGGGCAGGAGACCCCGGAACACTGAGTATCACTAGGTAAAACCTGTGTTTATCTACGTCCTCTCATGGGACACCCAGCCCCAGCCCAGGCCAGGCCAGGCCCAGAGGCAGTGGTGTACTTCTGCTGACCAGGTGGAGACAGCGGAGGGCAGGTAGGGCAAGGAAGAAGCGTGCAGCAGGAGAGAAGCTCAGTGAAGCAGCAAGGAACACAAGATGGCAGGCTTCCTGGGAAACACGCACCGAGCCGTCAGGGGGTCAGCCACCAGGACGTCAGGCACCCGGTAGCGGGGCCGCAGGGGCTGCAGCTCGTCCACCCTGATCCGAGTCATGTTCTTCTCAAGGCCCTGCAGCTCCAGCACCAGCACCACCTGAGGGGACAGGGCTCAGAGGTAGGGATGGGCAGTGCCCTTAGAGACCACACAGTTCCAGGAGGAGGCCAGTGTGAGACATTAGCCACAAGCCTATCCCACACAACTGGCAGCTGCCCAACCTGTCTTTCTGACCTTGGTGACCTCGTGGATGAGCTGGACCGTGAGGCCATCAGGCCCAAGCTGCAGAGAGTCCAGCAAGGCTCGGTATGGAGAGAGACCTGGCCGGAGACTTCGCTGTCGCCTGCCAAGTGTGGGGACGGGGGTGAGGTGGGAGGCCCCCAACGCTCCCCCACACTTTTGTCAACTTCCACAGATACCTCCCACCTCCCCTCTTCTCCAGCCCACTCTTCAGAGCCAGCGTACTTGCAGAAAGAGCTTTCTTCACAGGTCTTAAAGTTGCTTCTGTCCACAGCAAGCGCACTCCCCAGGAAAACCCCTAGGACTGCCAGCACCAAACCCATTCGAGACCTGTGGAAAAGAGAAAGTGATCAACATGGGTCAGGAAGGTGGATCCCTTCCTGTCACTGTGCTATAAGACGACAGCTCAAGAGAAAGAGGTGAGACTGAGATTTATTACATGGGGAAGAAAAACCAGGCATGGTGGTCCACACCTGTAGTCTCACATTGTGGGAGGCTGAGGCAAAAAGATCCCAAATTCAAGCTCAGCCCAGGCAATTTCATGATAAAAATAAAGGCTGAGGGTGTGCAAAGGCCAGGGGTTCAGTCCCCAGTACTGCAAAAACATGAACTGGAAAGAAGGCAGAGTAAACACACGTGAAAGGCCAGACCACACCCTCCAGAGACAGAGAAGTGAACAACTGTTTTGGTCCGTGGAAGCCCAAGTGCTGACCATGGTTACATCAGCCTCCCAAGAGGACAGCAGCAGGGACAGCTGGTCCCAGAAGTGCAGGTGGCAGGGACAGGGAGCACACTGTATCTCTCAGGCCAGGTACAAATCAGGTGGAAACTGGCAGGGGTGGCAGCTAGAGACGCGTCCCAGGTGGCCTGGTGCCCTCCACACACCCCTTCAAACCACCGCCACTGTCCTAGACTAGCCGAGAAGAATAACATTGACAACCTGCTAAGCCCTAACGCTCTCCTGGGTCCCACCTGCGCTATATTCCTTTCAATCCCACTGCTCTAGTCTTACCCTCAGATACTGTGACTTAAATGCCCTGATGTGGGCCTGGGCTTCAGTTCTTTAAAATTTAGCTGGCATGGTGGTATAGACTGGTAGCCTCTGCTACGTGGGAGGCTGAAGCACAAGGATCACGTGAGCCTACAAGTTCAAGAGTGACCTGGGCACCACGCTAATACTGCAACTGAAAAGAGAAACTTGCTGGGTTTTTTTTTTTTTTTTTAAATGTTTTTAGTACAGGGTCTCACTATACAGTACTGTTTTCAGCCTACCAAATGCTGGGATTACAGGTGTGCACCACCACACCCAGTTTTTTTGAGACAAGATCTCACTACACATTTCAAGATAACCTTGAACTCACTATTACTATAAGCTAGATGTGTGCCACACAAAGGTGTGTGTCACCATACCTGGCAAAAATAAATAACTAGGCATGGTGATATATCCCAGCTACTCAGGAGGCTGAGATAAGAAAATCAAGTTCTAGACTACTGCAGGCAATTAGGTAGAAAACTGGAAGAAAAGAATTATAATTAAACTTAGTTCTGGGCTGGTGAGATGGCTCAGTGGTCTAAAGCACCTACTT